ATAGTGGTCAAGACACACAGGACAGGTGAGCTGTTCCTCCAGTTTGAGGAGACCAGGAGAAGAAGATGAAGATGATGGTTTGGTTGCCATTTCAAGAAAAGAATAAAATTGTGTACGTAAAGCAAGAATAAAAAATGAAGAGAGATAAAGGTAGAAGGTGGTAAATGAAGATAGGGCAAGAATGAAGGATAAAAAATGAATTAGAAGTCGAAATGAGCAACAAAGCAAAATGAAGAAGGTGGAAGGAGGAGAGAAAGACTAAAGAAGGTCAGCTAGACACAAAAAGTGGGCAATACCTTAAATATATTCAAAGATCTTGTGACTAAAGGAAGTTATGATATCATAGTACATAAAGATAACATTTCTTTCCCATAGCAATCACTATAAAATTTTTTAATTCTTTTTTATGATTCCATTATTTGTAAAATCAGTATTGTACAATAGCATTTACACTGATTTGTGGCTACTCAGTTTGATCTTTTAAATGGCAACTAAAGTTGTTGCAAAAGAAGAACAGGTTTCCAGGCTTAGAACAAGTTCTTATAATAAGATCAACATATTCTGAGCTGCTAGCATTAACACTAGAAGTTGCTCTATATATGCATGAAGGCATTGATAGTAAAAATCCAGTTGTCTTTCTACAGACTGTGCATGTACTTACAATCTAGCTTTATCTAGTTACATTTTGGCAATTCATGTACTAGTACTATATATAGGCCAGTGAGTTATGTATACCAGTCTGTTATATATTAATGAATTAATTTGATGCATGGCTCTTGTTGCAGCTGTCAAGTGTTTCTAAAGTGGAGCCACTTCAAGCCTAGACTACTTGTGGCCACGTATGATTGAGCATGTAAATAAAGGTTAGGTTTGCTAGTTCTCAAATAGCCAAATTCTAACCCATTGAAACAATATCTGATTTATAGATCTATACCATCATATTCATTACCAGAAGTAAAGTAAACTACGATCCTGACTCCTGACTATAAAATCAAGAGGAGGGTATGGTTTAGGTTGGTGTACTGCATTTACTTACAGGTATATACATCACATGAATATGCTGCATGTCTAAAAAACTAATGAAAAAAAATCATTTCAAAATTAAAATTAAAAAAATTAATCTAATAAACAACGAGGCGACTATTATTACTATCACAAACATGCAACAATCCATCGTTATCAAATGCTAATCCATAAGGATTATAAAACTGATCAATACTTCTGCCTTCACTTCCAAACTTCCTAACAAAAGCACCATCACTAGTGAAGACTGATATACGATGATTGCCCCTTTCACTAACATAAACTAGACCAGTAACTGCAGCATCTATTGCTATACCTGTTGGCCAGTTAAGCTGTCCAGGACCAGATCCTTCAGTACCAAATTGACCCACAAACTTTCCATCTGGAGAGAACTTCTGAATGCGATCATTATAACTATCAACAACGTACACTAATCCTTGACTGTCAATAGCAATGCCACGTGGAGACTGTAACTGTCCATTAGCTGATCCTCTTCTACCAAATACACGAGAGAAGGTTAGATCAGGATTCAAGACTTGTATAAGATGATTATCCATATCAGCAATATAAACCTGTCCTGTTATAGGAGAAATGGCTATACCAGAAGGATTATTGAATTGTAGTGGTTCCCTGCCCTCCTCACCAACTGATGCTATAAGGTCTCCATCCATGCTTATCTTCTGGATCCTGTGACTATCAGATACAAAAATGAATTTGTCTGGAGTAATGGCTACACCACGAGGATTAGAAAACTTGACATTACCACTTCCTCCTTCCCCTCCTAATGATTTCACCTTCTTTCCTTCTCTATCCAGTATTGTTACACAGTTACCACAAAACTCAGTTACTATAACATGATTATCATCACTTACAGTAACTCCCCAGGAATTTTTAAGCTCAGTTATAGTACGTACTGGAGTGATGTTATCAAGGTAAGGATTGAAGGGGATGACTAGTGAGGTATCCTCAAGATGTACATCATATACTTGAACTTTTACTGTATGAGTACCACTGGTTGAAGGGTTACACTGTATTCTATACACTCTAGGATCAGTGCTGGTGGTAGTGACTGTAGTGTGAATGGGTTGATCACCTTTACCAACTGGTACTAGACTACACCTCAGAGAAGAGAGGGGAACACACAAAAGAGATGAATCTGGTACCTCTATCGATAGTGAAAACAAAACTGCTTTGCCAGCAGGTGTAATACGATCAATCTTCTTCACTCTACACTGCTGTAGTGCAGTAGATGAGTAGGTCACAATATCTCCAATGTGATGTAGCGATTTGATATCTTTACTCAATACAAAGTCAACCTTTTCCTTTGGATGTAACTCCTCCACATTGATCTCTGTAGTAACTTTACTCATACACTCCATCATCTGTTTCTTAGACCCCAGGACTTGTTGAGGACTGCCTGTCATCAGGCTCTGTTCCACATAATCCTCAACATCCTCCAGAACACTCAAACTCATTTTTGCTGATTTCATTTGCTCTGACAGCACCTTTAGTTTATCATCAGTGACCCTCTTTGCCTGCTCAGTCAGTTCCTCTACCATTTCATGTATTTCTTCTAAGACTCCTTCTCCTCTCTCTCTGATCTCACCCTCTCTCTCTACTAGAGCAGACAGGACCTTCTTGAGTCCTTCAATTTTCCCTTTTACCGGATTAAGAGAACCTTCCAGTTCTCGACAGTGTTTAGTATAACTGGCAGAGACTAAGTCATACTCATGGTCTTTATGAGTACGGACTGTACAATCACGACATATAACACTATCACATGTTTCACAGTAGAGCTTCATTTTCTTGTTATGAGTGGAGCAAGTGAGGGTTGCCTCCTGTTTAGCTGGAGCTAGCAATTGAGAAATAGAAGAGACATCAGAGGCTGTCACTTTATCAAGACTTGTCAGTTGATGGTTAGCAAAAAGAGCCCATTTCTTGTGGGTAAAGATACATTCTGTACAAAGGAATTGATTACAGTCTTTGCAGTATTCAGTGGCATTAGCTGTAGTACAGTTGTCACAGGTGACCTGTTGTGGATCAGCTACTTTCTTCATTAGACTGTATCTCTTTTTGAGGTTGTTGAGAGTGAATGCTACAGGAAAGGCTCTTGCTCCTTCTTCTGGTAACTCTGTACAATGACGACAAGTGGGACAAGAGAGGTAATAGGTCTCATTCTTCTTATCCAGAGGTAATCCCTCCAGACAGTGCTCACAGAATGAATGTAGACAAGGTAAAGTCTTAGGGTTGGTATAGTGGTCAAGACACACAGGACAGGTGAGCTGTTCCTCCAGTTTGAGGAGACCAGGAGAAGAAGATGAAGATGGTTTGGTTGCCATTTCAAGAAAAGAATAAAATTGTGTACGTAAAGCAAGAACAAAAAATGAAGAGAGATAAAGGTAGAAGATAGTAAATGAAGATAGAGCAAGGAATGAACAATAACTGAGAAAATGAAGAAGTCGGAATGAACAAGAATGAGAGTAGCCTGGGGAAAGATAGCCCTGATGACCTCTTGGAATATTCTAAAGTCTCATGACTACAGGAAGTTATGATAGTACTTTCCTTTATTATAACAACCAGTAGTAAAGGTGAATTTACATTAATGAATGAGAATGTAAAACAAAGTAGAGGAGGAGGAGGAGAAGGGAAGGCAGTGAATGAGTGATGAGAGAGAGTCCTAATGACCAGATGAAACAACAAAACAAAATGAAGAAGGTGGAGAGAAAGACTAAAGAAGGTCAGCTAGACATAAAAAGTGGGCAATACCTTAAATAAATTCAAAGCTCTTGTAGTGCGGACTAAAGGAAGTTATGATAGTACATAAAGATAACATTTCTTTCCCAAAGCAATCACCATAATACTTTCAATTCTTTTCAGTATCCTGTTATTTTTAAAATCAGCATTGTACAACAGCATCTGTGGTTACTTTGATCTTGTAAGCAAGATGTTGCAAAAGAAAAAATTTCTAGGTTTCGAACAAGTATCCTTAACACTAGAGGTTGCTTCATACCATGAAGGCATCTAGTATTGTAAAAATACTATTGTCTTTCTGAGGCTATGCATGTAGGTACAACTGACCTAGCTTTCTCTTGCCAAATTTTAACAAATAGGCCATTTACATACACCAGTCTGTTAATGAATTAATTGATGCATTTCTCTGGTTGCAGCTGTCAAGTGTTTCTAAAGTGGAGCCACTTCACGCCTATTTGACCAAAGAGGAAGAGAAGCCACAATCATAACCACATAACGAGATTCATAACCATATAATGAGATTCATAACCATATAATGAGATTCATAACCATATAATGAGATTCATAGCCAGTTTAGTGTGCGACCCACAAGTGCTTTTTCAAAAATAAGTGTATATAAGAGCAGCCTGTCTCCACCATCATTCAGCTTTGCGCAGTGGCAGTACCATAACCAATGAGGTTCTACCGAGGTGTGGTTATTGCTAATTGAAAACTTACCCCAATACCCCGTAACGACGACGTGAAACACCGTCGGCGCTACAATTTTTGTAGGCCTCTCAGGAGGCCGAAAGGACTTTCATTATTAAAAAAAAAAAACAATAATTAATAAAGTACACATGTTAACTAATCATTATAGTGTTCCACTATTGAAAAGTAACAGGAACCAGTGGCATAGCCAGGGTAGGGCACAGTGGGGCACATGCCCTACCAACTGTCATAGTGTTCTGATTGTTCTCTTGTCTATAAATTGTATGTGAAGTTCACTTGTCCATAGTGTGCCCTACCACCATCATAACCCTGGCTACGCCACTGACAGCAACCATTTCTGATATCAACTTCTTTGCCATGTTAGTCTGTTTCTCTTTGTAGTTCAGTATATTTAAATGTACCAGACATGTTTGATATTTCATAATACACGTGATAGATAACTGGGTCATTTTTATACATTAAATAAATACAATATTGACAAATACACATGTACATATATAATATACATTAAGCCTTACCCCATCAGCCATTACAAAGTGGACTCCGGTATTATCTGTGTTCTGTAGTACGTACGACTGGAATTCTTCTAAATTATTAGGATCTGTGATGTCACCGTTGCCAGAGTATCCACCCACACCATAATGAGGATCAAAAGTCTCGCAAGGACCAGCAATGAAACTGTCCAGTTTGAAATCAAAACCGGAGTCGGGTTCTACCAGTATACATGTACAATGAACACACAATTAAAGTGAACTGTTAGGTAATATGTATGTACATGTACATGTACAATGTCTATAAATACATGTATGTGTACCTTTTAATGTCATTCCAAATCCTTTAGCATGCCATTTCTTCCTCCAGAATACATACTCAGAAAAACCACCAGGACCAGCGCAGATATCAGCAAAATAAAGTACATCATTAGGAGATAGTTTAAACTAGGAGAGGGAGGGAGGGGGAGGGGATTATTAAAATAATGGAGGCAGTTACTAACTCCTTTGGTGAACATGAAGTCAAAGACTGAGTCAATGTTAGCCATCTTCATGGCAGCTCTACAGAAGAAAGAAAGAGAATCAGATTTATATATTCACAATTTTAAATGCTACGGTAAATACTGCCAGTTGGCAGTTTTATAAAGTATTAATTATTATTATTTCAATATTTTCTTACCTGTTTTGAAATATTGCTCCCTTTATCGTCTCAAAAGGATTAGCTCTCTGTCTTGCCTCAAGAAACTCTTTATCATCAAGAGAATCAAACACAGTCTGCGGGGGCAGATCACATGACAGTCACATGACAATATCATAATAATAATAATAATAATAATAATAATAATAATAGCAATATGAATATACTTTGGATTGTAGGATCTTTTCTAATACTTTTTCATCACAGTATAATGTTTCATCGTCAATTGTCGTCTTCCTCTATAAAAGAGAGAGAAAGAGAAGAGTAAAGTATAATCTTCTTCTCTCCCTCTCACTGCTCCAATGGTGATCCATTCATGTATATCGTCGTCAGTCAGTACTGGTTCTTCACAAGGAGGCAGCCATACTGGAACCTGATGACAATCAACCTACAGGAACAGGAAATAATGAAGCATGGACATATTAATACACATACATGTACATGCACAGTATAAATACATAAACATGTATAAGTAATATCAAGAGTACATGATACTTAATACTTATTATATTATGTACTCTTGGCAATATGCAACATTAAATCTTGCTCCTATTATATTAGCAATACATGTACATGTACATAAAGCAATACAAGATTACAGGAACATTAAACTACATGTACTGTACATGTACATGTATATTTAAAATAAAGTTAAGATTTGCTAAATATTACATAAAATAGATGTACATGAATATGTATATATGTCAATATTGTATTAATTATTTTAAGCCACACTTCTTCCTGTTCCCATTTGACGTCTTCCTTCTCCAGTCCCTCCAGACAAAGACCCAACCCCCTTCGTCCTTTCTGTAGAGACTCTTCAATAGGAGCAGTAATGCCAGTGTGAGTCTTCCCGAGACCTAGTCCAGGTTTATAGCCCATACTAGCCTTAGGGGAGGAGAGAAGAGAGAGTGTGTGTGTGGAGGAAAGTTTTATCAGTAAAAGTATACAGTATTATTAAGCATGTACTTTATAGCACATGATCATATGTCATTTTAAAATGGCTATAACTTGAAAAATTTAAGTCGGAATCAGCTCAAACTTTCTACGCAGCATAAGGGCATCAATATGTATCAGAAAATGGAATAAAAATTGGGGGTCATTTTTTGGCCATTTTTTGGAAAAAACCATGGGCTATACAGGGATTTTTTCAGATTTTGGCTCATTTTTTAAAATGGTCGTAACTTGAAATATTGAAGTTGGAATCAGCTCAAACTTTCTACATAGCATAAGGGCATCAATATGTATCAGAAAATGGAATAAAAATTGGGGGTGATTTTTTGGCCATTTTTTGGAAAAAACCATGGGCTATAGTACAGGAATTTTTTCAGATTTTGGCTCATTTTTTAAAATGGTCGTAACTTGAAAAATTTAAGTCGGAATCAATTCAAACTTTCTACGTAGCATAAGTACATCAATATGCATCAGAAAATGTAATAAAAATTGGGGGTGATTTTTGAGCCATTTTTCAGAAAAAACCATGGGCTATATATAGTACAGGGATTTTTTCAGATTTTGGCCCATTTTTTAAAATGGCCGTAACTTGAAAAATTTAAGTCAGAATCAGTTCAAACTTTCTACGTAGCATAAGGACATCAATATGTATCAAAAAATGTAATAAAAATTGGGGGTGATTTTTTAGCCATTTTTCAGAAAAAACTATGGGCTATAGTACAGGGATTTTTTCAGATTTTGGCCAATTTTTAAAAATAGTCGTAACTTCCAAAATTTAAGTCGGAATCAGCTCAAACTTTATACGTAGCATAAGGACATCAATATGTATCAGAAAATGTAATAAAAATGGGGGTGTTTTTTTTGGCCATTTTTTGGAAAAAACCATGGGCTATAGTACAGGGATTTTTTCAAAATTTTGAGGTTTTCTAAAAATAGTCGTAACTTGAAAAATTTAAGTCAGAATCAGTTCAAACTTTCTACGTAGCATAAGGACATGAATATTAATACAATACAAGTCACAAGTAATGAAAATTGAAAATCAAAAATAAATTAAGTTAATTATTAATTAATAATTAAGCCACACCCTCACCATCATTTTCAAAGAAAAGGTACTATAAGATGGTTCCGGCTTGTTCTTCCCCTCGTTATCATCATAGAGTGCCCTTTTCCGCTTCTTCTTCTCTGGCTCCCAGTCACTAACACTATCATGATCAGAATCAGTGGTAGAGGTACTACTTTTCTCTAAAAATCTTCTCTCCTCATTATATGATGGAGAATTATCGTCTAGTTTGATGCTTTCTGGAACTGGGAGATGTATCTCTTCGCTGCTCGTGGAGTTGGTGCCGCTGGAAGTGCTAGAAGACGAGGAGTAGCTTCTCTTTCTGTTCAAAGGTGAGGTAGCCATGCCTACCTGCACACTCCCGCGTAATTTTTCCCGCCAATCGATAGAAAATGTGACGTCCCAATAATTAGGAACATTACGGTATTTTACTCTATGAATAAATAATTTAATTAAGAATTTATGAATATTAATGAGGCTACAAAAAATGGCTCAAAGGAAATGGTTGGAGCTATGTACAAGACTAGGACTGGGCGATGGGCCTGCACTGAAGTGGTGGGAATGGTTGTACAGCCGCTACGGTGAGCCGCAACGCCACTACCACACAATGGAGCACATTGAGTCTATGCTGGAATTGCAAGACAAGCATTGTGAAGGAAAAATTCAAAACAATGCTGAATTCCAGCTAGCAATATTCTTTCACGAGTAATTAGGTGTAGTATTCCTTTTTAAAGTTATTTTTTGTTTATTTTTAGTGTTATTTATGACCCAAAGGCTAAAGATAATGAGAAGCAAAGTGCTGACTGGGCAGTCAAGTTTATCAATGAAACCACAGAATCCTTAGAGGTACTTTGCTTACACTGTATGCTTAAAATAAAATTAAGACCAGAATTGTTACATTATTCTTAATAGAGATAATTTTATATTGCAGAGTAGTAAATACAAAATGTTTTGCATAGTTGCATACTACTATGAGATACTGGCTCATTTTTTTATTACTATCTATTTTTTGCATTATTATCTTAGTCCTCATCTTCATTAACCATCAATCCTAACAATGTCTATGATATGATACTATTAACTGAGACACATAAAACACCAGCACACACTGAAGGACACAAGTACATGATATATATAAGTTAATCTTATTGCTGTATAATTATTGTGATTTGATGTAGTTTCGGAACGAATGATGAACATTTCCTACTTGATCTTGATATGAGCATACTAGGACAGACATGGAGTGGTCAGTCATGAGAAAGAGAGAGAGGTTTTCTGTTACAGTTATTATCTTAACTGCTTGCTGTATTGCTAAAGAAAGAAGGGAGAGAGAGGGTGTAGATATGATAAAATTTATCCTTATAAACTTCCTGTTATTTTACTCTGCAGTATATGCAAGATATGCTGGTAACATTAGGAGAGAGTATTGTCACATTCCTCATTCTGACTATTGTCAAAAGAGAGCTGAGGTGTGCAGCAATAAAACAATCATTTATTATCTCATACTTGTTTATTTTTGTGTAGGTTTTGAAAAGTTTTTTGAAAGTCCATAGAATTTATTGCACATCAGAGTTTCATTCTATTTATGAAGAACCTGCAAGAAATAATATTGAAAAGGAAATATCATTCCTCACTGTGTCACTGATAATAAAATACCATCAGAGTAATCTGTAGTTGTTATTTGTTCTTTTATTACTCTGTTAGTTCCACATAATCATTATTTTATCAGAATTTATAAATTGCCTACTTTGCATTGTAATATTGGTATGCATGTCAGTAGTGACAATTCGGCCTTATTTTTTGTCTCTCATTTTATCTTGCAATATGATAGAGGTGTCTTACTTCAGTTGTGGTCAGATGGGTGGTCAGTGGTTTCTGATTACAGTCACATGAGTAATATTGTAGCTATTCCTTAGGGCCCTTCACAGTTTGAATATCATGTCTTGCTTTAGCAAAGAAGACCTTTCATTTGTTAAGGAACTGCCTGACCATGTACAGCTAGAGTGTCCAATTTGTCTCCACATCTTGACAGATCCTCATCTGGTGACTTGCTGTGGACATAATTTCTGTGGGTCTTGTATTGAGAAAATAAAAGCTAGGAATGGACCCTGTCCTATGTGTAAAGAGAAGGAATATCAATCATTTATCGATAAGAAGTGTTCACGTATTATCAATGGATTGGAGGTCTACTGCAGTAATAAGGAGAAAGGATGTCAATGGAAAGGAGAATTGAAGAATATGTCTACTCATCTTAATAAAGAGAAGAGAGAAGGAGAATGTCAATATGAAAAAGTAAAGTGTCAATATGAGGAATGTCAAGAGAGAATGCAGCGTAGATATCTGAAGAGGCATAAAGATAAGGAATGCCCTCAACGTCCGTTTGAATGCGAACATTGTGGGGAAGAAGGCACGTTCCTCTCTATTACAAAGGATCATTATAAAGAGTGTTGCTGGTATCCTGTTACTTGTCCTAGAGGATGTGCTTCTACTACTATGCCACGATTTAATCTCGAGTATCATATTGATAATAAGTGTCCATTAGAGCCAGTAGATTGTGTGTTTAGTTGGGCTGGTTGTAATGATAAGCCATTACGTAAAGATGTAGATAAACACACTGCTGATACTAAACACATGACACTATTAGCTGCAGCTTGTGGACAACTGAAGATAGAAAGTGAACAAGTAAAAAAAGAAAATGAAAAAATAAAAGAAGAAAATAGAAAAATAACGGAAGAAAACAAGAAAATGAAAAAAGAAGTCAGGGCAATAAAAGCAAAAGTGAAAGAAAACTTTGAAGATCGCATTTGCTATCCTGATTCATATCCATCATTACCAATCAAAATCAAAAGTGGAAGTAAGGCAGTTCATTTCTATACTGGTGCAAGTGGACGACACATGTCAGCCAGAGTAATAGCAGCAGAAACTATTTGCCGTAACATTGTTCTACTATTACTCGCATTTCATGAAGGAAAACATGATAGATATAATCCAAAGCTTCCTAATTTATCTATCAAATATCATTTTCAAGGTAAGGAGCTTAAGGATCCGTTTAAAGTCTTAGACGACACTGAAGCTGCTGATAAGCTATTACCTGATGATGTGCTGGATACCATCACTGGCATTGATGATATTCCATCTGGAGTAATCACTAGGGATATAGTTTATACTACTTGTATTACAATTTGTTTAGATTAGCTAGAGTTTACATGCTTTTTTAGTCGCAATTTGAATTTTATTTTTAAACAACTTAGTTTTTGGCACAAGAAGTTATTAGCTATTAAAATTGATTTTAAAAATTGCCTCTGTACGTTATCCTGATTCATCATATCCATCCATTACCAATTGGTATTACAGCAAAAAATGCAGTAGTTCATTACTGGTCTATGTGAATGACACATGTAGTAACTATTAAGCCCACCATCCACTACTCAACTTTGTTGAAAGAAACTTTGTGGTTACTTTGATGTATTGTCAACTCTGTTGCCTGAAATAGAACTGAGTTCTATTTCAGGCAACAGAGTTGCCATAAGATCAAAGTAACCACAAAGTTGAATAGTGAATGGTGGGCTGTAATGTACTTGTTGTCCTTATTTTTGACTGTCCTTATTTCAAAAGTCTTTAGTATTAAAAATAAAATTATGATATATACAGGTGTCCTGGTTGTGGTTAAATTGGGATGTCTACTGTAATAACTGTCACATGAAAGTTATAGAGCTGCTACCTTTGTTTTCCCTGGCCCGTTCATTGTTTGAATATCATGTCTTGCTTTAGCAAAGAAGAGCTTACGTTTGTTAAAGAACTGCCCGAGCATGTACAGCTAGAGTGTCCAATTTGCCTCCAAATCTTGACAGATCCTCATCTGGTGAGCTGCTGTGGAAATAACTTCTGCGAGTCTTGTATTGAGAGAGTAAAAGCTGGTGATGGATCCTGTCCTATGTGTAATGAGAAGAGATATCAATCTATAATTAACAAGGAACGTATTCGTTTTATCAATGGATTGGAGGTCTACTGCAGCAATAAGAAGAAAGGATGTCGATGGAAAGGAGAATTGAAGGACATGTCTACTCATCTTGAGAAAGCAAAGGGAGTAAGAGGATGTCAATTTGAAGAAGTGAAGTGTCGATATGAGAAATGTCAAGAGAGGAAGCAGCGAAGATATCTTAAGGATCATGAAGATAAAGAATGTCCTCATCGTCCATTTCAATGCCAATACTGTGGGGAAAAAGGCACGTTCCTCTCTATAACAAAGGATCATTATGAGGAATGCTGGTACTATCCTGTTACTTGTCCCAAGAAGTGTTCTTCTACTACTATGCCTCGATATTATAGTGTCACTGATCATATCAAAGAGTGTCCATTAGAGCCAGTAGATTGTGTGTTTAGTTGGGCTGGTTGTAATGTTAAGCCATTACGTAAAAATGTACACGAACACACTGCTGATACTAAACACATGACACTATTAGCTGTAACTTTTGGAGAATTTAAGAAAGAAAATGAACAAATAAAAAAAGAAGACAAGAAAATAAAAAAAGAAAATAAGAAAATGAAAGAAGAAAATATGAAAATAATGGAAGAAAACAAGAAATTAAAAGATGAAGTCCAAGCATTAAAAGCGACAACAAAAGCAAATTTTGAAGATCAAGCTCATTGTCCTGATTCATCATATCCATCATTACCAATTGATCTTAAAAGTGGAAGTGGGGCTGTTCATTTCTATACTGGCCCACATGGACGACACATGTCAGCTAGAATAATAATCAGAAAAAAGCTAAAAAATGATCTTCCGAATTTCTTTATTCTGCTAGCATTTCATAAAGGAGAATTTGATAAATTTGAACCAGATCTTCCTGAAATATATGCAACATATAAGGATGAAGATGTTCCATTAATCATAGACACTGAATCTACTTATAAAGAATTACCTCACGATGTCCTTGATACCATCACCAGCTGTGAGCGTTTTCCACATGGAGTAATTAGAAGAAAAAGAATGGATCCTTATAGAGGGACTGTTGTAATTTTTACAAAGTAATGAATAAATGGTACTGTGCATTATTTTGCTAGTCTTTATTAACGACCTGGGGGCGAAGCCCCCAGGTCGTTCCTATAATTGAATTCACCCTCGCGCTATGTATATATATATATTTATTTGTATGTCCACACTTACATTTCTTCTATACACGTTGTATTGGAGAAATAACAAGCGTTAGCAACCACCCGCCCACGCTCCTTTACGTGAGTGGGTGTGGTCACGGCAAACAAAATGGCGGCTTACAGATGGGACAAAGCTAAGAGCTTTCTAACAGCAAGAGAGCATAGAGATACTGTCTAAAGACTTTTCTAGAAGCATTATAAGGTAGAGAGAACCTCTATAAGTCTTAGTAATGACCAAGTTGTACTTGCAAGGTGGTGAAATCAATTATAGGAATATTTTTTACCCTGTTACGCTTGTTTCTGGTAAGAATTAATTAATTTTTTAATTGAATGTGCAAATTTTGATAAACTTAATATAAATTTCCAAATATGGTAAATAGACTGACTGGCTCACTTATGCACATTCTTTTGGTTACTTGTCATAACAGTCTCAGTGCCTTCCCTTTTAAACATGTCTCGGTTCAGCAAAGATGAGCTTTCATTCGTTAAAGAAGTACCTGAACACATTGAGATAGAGTGTCCAGTTTGTCTTAATATCTTGACAGATCCTCATCTGGTGACTTGCTGTGGACATAATTTCTGTGGGTCTTGTATTGAGAGAGTGAAAGCTGGTGATGGATCCTGTCCTATGTGTAAAGACAAGGAATATCAATCATTTATTGATAAGAAGTGTTCACGTATTATCAATGGATTGGAGGTCTACTGCAGTAATAAGGAGAAAGGATGTGAATGGAAAGGAGAATTGAAGAATATGTCTACTCATCTTAATAAAGAAAAGAGAGAAGGAGAATGTCAATATGAAGAAGTAAAGTGTCAATATAAAGAATGTCAAGAGAGAAAGCAGCGCAGATATCTTAAGTATCATGAAGATAGAGAATGTCTTCAGCGTCCAGTTCTATGCCAATACTGTGGGGAAATTGGTACGTTCCTCTTTATTACAAAGGATCATTATGAGGAATGCTGGTACTATCCTGTTACTTGTCCTAATAAATGTGCTTCTACTACTATGCCACGATTTAATCTCGAGTATCATATTGATAATAAGTGTCCATTAGAGCCAGTAGATTGTGTGTTTAGTTGGGCTGGTTGTAATGATAAGCCATTACGTAAAGATGTACATGAACACACTGCTGATACTAAACACATGACACTATTAGCTGTAGCTTGTGGACAATTGAAGAAAGAAAATGAACAAATGAAAAAAG